CACTTGTTTTGCCGTGTCTCATGAAGCTGATCAAGCTTCCAACAGCGTGGCGCAAGCTGTCGCGCATAATCGCCACTCGTTCCCTCCACCTACCTCTTCTCTTCACCTGTCACGCTTGCACAGAGGACCGTCTCGGTGCAACGCTCGTCTTTGACTCGGAGGTTGAGGCTCACATTGCCGGATCCGGGCCGATCTCGACAACCCCGCACCGATGGCATTCTCCCAGTCTTGCCTTGGCTCGAGCTAGCGCCAGCGAAGGTGGTACGTGCGGAGAAAATGACCGCCTCCAACACTTTCGACGCCATGCCGTTTGAACGCGGAGAGGCGTCACACGAGCAAAGTCTAATTCACACACGCATGTCAGTCGTTGGACGTTGCACAATCCCGCCGATGCATGGACTGGTGGTACTGCGTGCGCGATGGAGCGGAGCCTCCTTTGTGCTTCGCCTTCGAGGATGTCAGAGCTCGTGCTGGTCTGATCGCGCCCCGCCGACCCAAAACACGCTCTGCCGGGTGTCTCGCAGGGGCCCGGCTGGTTTTCTCGTGTCCGCGGTGGATCCAGGGATCCACGGCTGTTTCCAAGGTCGGCGGCTTCAGCGAGCAGACGTTTGACAGGCTGAATCCACGCTTCCCTGAGAGGCTTGCCGACATTGGTAGTGCAGTCCCGAGTCCGGCAGTGCAATCGCTTAAAACAGGACCCCCTTACCTGAACCTCCCGGTCGCCCCTTCGCATTGCTTAGCAACACATCCGCTCTTTCTATGTCCCAAGCCCCTTGGGCCCCACACTCGCTTACGTGCCTGCCATCTGTACTCTCATTTTTCTGCGTCTCGCGCTGTCGAGACCAAGCTCCCACGCGGGGAGAAGCCAATTTACGCGACGTATGTCGACGGACCATTCCGTCGTGTGGAGTGGGAGCCCAATTCAACTGCCTCCCCTGCCGTACACGACGATGCGTGACTGGAGCACCATGTCGCCTGCCATTGATGGTTCGAGCCTAGTGGCTCATGCAACCAGCTTTCTCAACCGGCCGTCGTTGCTGGACGACGTGTCGCGCGAGCAGATGCCCAGTGCTGGGCTCGAGAGCCAAAGCAACGCGCTGCCTCCTTCGCCACCCTCGTCTGGTGACCTCACTATGGGCGCACAGACTGCTCTGGTTGATTGGGAGATGTCCTCGTCGACGCCCGGGTCGGAGTTCAATTCCTTCGTACTGCCTGCGACGCCGTCGGTGACGAGTCAGGCGTCGACGCGCATGCCCACGCCCATGCTGATCTCCGATCTGCTGGAATGGGATTCGCTGTCGTCGACGTTCGACGCCGACTTCAACCTCAGTGCTCCTAGCAATGCGCATACCTCGTTCATGCCCCCGGACGATACCATTGGCGCAAACATCGGCGGACCCGTTGACTCTGTCGAGACACAGCCCAGCAAGAGCATGGACATGTACGGCGCTCTCAGTCAGGGTCCATACCCTGTGGCAGTCACCGACGACTTTTGGTCGACCAAGAGCTACGCTGAACTCTACATGGCCATCAAGGAGGAGGATCAGTGGAAGAAGACGGCGTTCGAGATGCACGGCAGCATGGATGTCAAGCCCGATATGGCGCTTGGTCAGGGCTGCTTCCCGTACTCTGGCTACTTTGACGCCTGCACCTGTGGGCAAGAGCCGTGTTCGAAGGTGAGCCCCTGGACGCCTCTGCACGATCCGAACATTTCGCTCGTCAACGCTGCCTACCCCGATCATTCGTTCGACTTCAGCCCGTCCTTCAACGCCCCCACTATGCCTGCTCTCTCTCGCCATGACGGTTCGATGGTTGCACACATGGGATTTGCGCCTTCGATCTCTGCACCGCGCGAGGGAGGTTTAGGTGCGATTCTTGGTGGTCTTCCTACTGCGGCGCTCTACACCACCGTGCCCATTCCTCGACGCACGGTGAAAAGCAAGCCCAAGTCCAAGCCCAGCATGCGAGTCAAGTGCACCGAGCTCGGATGCACCAAGACGTTCTCGAGCATCCATAATATGAACGAGCATCGACGCACGCACGTCTTGCCGCGCGAACGCGCCTACGTCTGCCCCGAATGCCACAGCGACTACATCCACCGTCGCGACCAGCACCGCCACATGCGACACAAACACGGCTACCCCCCCAAGTCCCGCGCCCGCAAACAGACCTCCCCCAAGCCCAAAGACAACTGACCACAAGCCCCCAAGTGGCCATGAACATTCACTCCATCTCCTTCTCTTAGCAACATCCGACTCGAACACCCAATGACCACCAATCCTCTCCACCCTGCCTGCGTTTGACTCTGCTGCATGAACAATCCGGCTCGAGCGTGGAGCTTACGCCGCACGACCGCCGGTTCGTCTGTCTCGTGATGGTTACAATGACTCGGTGAATTCGAGGCATACACAACGTGAAGAGAGCGAAGAAACAAGGGGGAAAGGAGCGGCCAGTGTTGACGGTCGGAGAAGCAAAGGGATGAGAAAGCTAGCACAAGGGGGAAGGCACGCGAGACGTGCGATAGGACTGCGCTAAAGCAGCAACAGCCGGCAAGCCCGGTGGGATAGGCGTGGGAGGATGAGGAAGAGTCCGTGTGCTACTGCGATTGTCGTAGGGCCAACAACGCAGCCAACAGTAGTGTGTGATGCTCGACGCGATGCTGGCCAAGCCACAGCCACGCCAATCCCGAGTTGAGATCTGCTGCTGGGCTGCAAGACCCAAGTCTCGTGAGGTCCAAAGAGGCCAGGAGCGAGGCCCGTGTGTGCGCGCGTGAACGGCAGACCAGCTGCGGATGAGATGCTGACCGTTGCCTTTGCTGATGGTTGGGCTTGCGCCTCGAAGTGCCGGTAAAATAGCTCGCGAAAGAATGAAAAGTGCTGCTGCTGACCGAGCATGGCAACGCTGGCGCTGCTCGAGGCGATCAAAGGATGTTGCAACGCGACTTCTTCTTCTCCTTCTTGTGTGGTGTGGTGCCCTCGCGCTGTTCGCGGATCATGCGGACGACGGTGTAGTAGGCGCGCTCGACATTGACGCACGTCTTTGCGCTCGACTCGATGAACTTGCAGCCGAGGCGTTGCGCGAGCGCCTGCCCCTCCTCCCTGGATACCTCCCTCTCGTTGACCTTGTCGCACTTGTTGCCGACGAGCATGATGGGCACCGTATGTGGCTCCTGGTCCTTGACGCGCGAGATCTGGCTGCGGAAGCGCTCGACGCGCTCAAACGTGGCTCTCGCCGAGATGGAGTAGACGAGGAGGAACCCCTCTCCTTCGCGGATCCACTGGTCTCTGAGCGCCGTGTACTCCTCTTGTCCTGCCGTGTCGAGGACCTCGAGCATGCATGGCTGGTCGTCGATCACGGTCTGCTTGCGATACGAGTCCTCGATCGTTGGATCGTACGTCTCGACAAAGTGATTGAGACAGAGCTGGATGGTCAATGCGGTCTTGCCCACACCACCATCTCCCAACACGACGAGCTTGTAAATCATCATCTTGCCACTCATGGTGACGGCGGATCAGTGTATGTGGATAAGAGAGCGCGAAACGTTGGTGTTTGTCGGTAGAGGCTGCGGAGCGACAGATGGCGAGGCTCGCAAATACGTCGGATGGATGTCTAGGAGGTGCGGATGATGCCGAAGGAGAGCCTTTGTTCGAGAGAGAGACGGTGATGAACAAGGGGTATCGAATCGCTCGAGGGCTGTGGCGTAGGCTCGAGGGATGCGAGGGGTGCGAGGGCCGCAGCGAGAATGCGTGGAAAGGGGAGGCGAATTGGGTCGAAACTGCGCAAAGGGGGTCCGTGTGGAGCGGAAACCGGCGATTGCGTTCGAGGACGAAGCGGCAGCCGATATCTTGACTGGCGGGCGGCGCGGCTAGAGGGTCGAAACGCGCGCGTATGCTGCAGCTGAGGCGACCAAGGATTCGAGTACAGTCAGCTCGTCGGGAACGCCGAAGATCCACTGGTGCTGCGGATGCTGGGCGGTTAGCGAGGGGCGCGCGAAGCTGTTGATGAGACGGCGCGGCACAGGTGGCAAAAGTGGAAAAGCTTCGAAAGTGCGGGGCTTTTTCGACGGCGACGTTGGGTTAGGGTTGGCGAGGGTGGCAAAGGTATCGAAGATGGACTGCGAGTGCGACGTCGAGGCAAGCAGAATCGAGATGTGGACCTTGTGCGACCTTGATTGTGGCGATCAGCTTGGGTATATGGGAAAGCTGATACTGCAACGTGCAGCTGCGACGAAGGGGGGAGGATGAGATGGATGAGCGGATGGAAAAGCGGGTGCGACGATGCGAGCCAGAGTGCGTGTGGTGGACCGAGGCGGATGACGATGAGATGGTGGCGGGTCGCAGAGGCGGCGAGCTCGAGCGGGTGGTGGCCCCAACCAGCTGATCTCGGCCTGAGGCAGGCGAGCCGAGCCGAGAAGGGCACGGGGCGGCCAGCCAGCCAAAGGCCTGCCAGAGGCTGTGGCAGCCAGCGCCTGCAGCGCCTGTGCGGCTTCGGAATTGCACTTGGGGCCTGCGCACAAGCATGCAAAGCGACGCTTGCGGAACAGAGTTGCGGGCGGACGCGCGACCCGCCGCGCCCAGCCGCGTCGTCCTGCACTGCACAGCGCAGCGCTCGGCGGTTCAAGACCCAAGAGTCGAAAATGCGCTCGAATTACACACAGGCGCAGCCGACCCAGCGCACACCGCGCCAGCCTGCCCATTCCGTGTAGTTGTTTTTTTCTTCCTTTTTTTTTCTCTTTCTTTTCTATTTGGCTGTGCGCTGTGCGCTGCGCAAACCGTGGATAGCCGCGGCATACCTTTGGACGCCGTGTCAAGGTCAAGATGGCAGGAGCAGCAACGTCTGGGGCTGGCACTGTCGAATTGACATCGCCTGCCATCGGCATCTGGACGTCTTCAGCCCCGCGAGGTGGCTCTTTGGGCTGCCGGCGTGCGCTTCGAAACGAGCTCCACGCCCCCTTCGCTCGTGCTCGCTGTCCGAAGAGCCGCTCTGGACCCGATGCTCGCGGACCTTTTTTTGTGATTGCCAGCCGTGGCGCCAGCAGCCGAGCTTGGAGCTGGCCGGCCGGACCACTCGGGAGCCATGCTGATGGCTGCAGGAGCTGAGACCACCCGGACACGATCCTGCAGCGCGCGACACGAGTGTTCCGATTCGATTGCATGGCCCCCCGCCCCGCTGCCGCTGCCCCCAATTCCCTGCATTTTCGGCCTCCTTCGCCACTTTTTCGACCGTGGGAGACTTTCTGCTCGGCGTTTGAGGGGCTAGCGGACGGAAAGTGCCCCTCTGGTGATTTGAATTGGGCCAAGCAACACTCGTCGGTGCGTAAAGCCGCTACCTAATACGCAAATACAAAACACCCTGGGAAAAAAAAGAGCTTCGGTCTCAACGCCTCCCTCGCCCATCAATCAAAGCTCGCTCACATCCGGTGGGCGGCGCTTCCGGCTTTTTTTTTTTTTT